AGTAGTAATAATAATAATAGTTGTAGTAGCAGCAGCAGTAATAGTAGTTGTAGGTGTAGTAGTAGCAGCAGCAGCAGCAATAATAGTAGTAGTAGCAGCAGTAATAGTACTAGTGGTAGCAGTAGTAGTAGTAGTAGTAGTAGTAGTAGTAGTAGTAGTAGTAGTAGTAGTAGTAGTAGTAGTAGTAGTAGTAGTAGTAGTAGTAGTAGTAGTAGTAGTTGGTGGTGGTGGTGGTGGTGGTTGTAGGCGAATGAGATAAAGAAGAAGAAGAGGAAGAAGAAAAAGAAGAAGACAAAAGGATAATTAACATTAAGCTAATATGCAATCATCTAGAGGTTTGAGGAAGGCCATGAATCATAGCAGACATAAATAAAACATTCATCACAGACACAAGCTGGATAAATTAATGTGGCTCTATTTAGCAAATGAGGTCAACTTGAGTGCCAGGTACTATTACAATTTCTGGAGTCTTTAAATGTATATACAAATTATACAGCTATAGTTTACATCTCATCACAAACCAGGGACCGTCTCCGCATTGAAGTTTGCTGCAGTGGCTCTCCAACACGTCTTTTGACCTTGGTGTACATTCTATCAGCCTTCTGTTAGTTAGGGTGACCATAATATCTTGAATTTAAAATAGGACATTCCGTTAATATTTTGTGCTGAAAACGGTCACTACCAACCCAGTCAGTTAACCCCACCCCCCCTCTTTTTATATACACAAAAAAAAAAAAATTATTATATAATTTATTATTACTATTATTCATTACTTAACTAATACATTTTAAGAACAGGAGAATATTCTCGTTAGCAGGTGCTTTGCAAACTCGAGCTTTGCAAACTCGAGCACTAGCCAGCATTCCCGCTTCGTGCACTTTCATATTCAAGGAGTCACTTATATCTTGTTCCCATCTTCATGTTAGTCGGCCCCTGCTCCTTCTTCCTAGTACCATGCCTTCAGCAACTATATTTTCCAATCCGCAATGGCGCTTAATACGACCAAAATATATCAGCTTCCGAGACAAGATGCTGTTTATTAGCCAATCTTCCTTGATGTTCAGATCTTCTAAAATGTCAGTATTTCTTCTCTTCTTTGTCCATGGCATTCTGAGAATCCTTCTATAGCATTTCAACTCAAAAAGCTCCTATTTTCTTTCTTTCGGACTGGGAGATAATCCACGACTCACATCCGTATGTTGCTATAGGGAAGATGCAAGCTCTTCAAATTTTTAACTTGATTTCCATACTGGTGCTCAACCATAGGCTTTCAATGTTGTTTAACATGAAAATATATAGATCTGTACATTGTATACGCCATAACAATTCATAAATAGTAACATCTTAGATGACTTACATAGTCTTTCTGTCTTCTCTTTATCCATCCTTCATGTTGAAGTGGAGGACCATCCGCGAACGTTGGAGGCATTTATCAGAAAAACCAATATTTTAAAGAGTTGTATTATTAATCAATCACTCCCAAAAGTTCCCACAACTTTCTTCAACGATCACTCGCACCAACAAGATATGCTTCGTTGTTGAACCGGTACAACTAGCGCTTCCAGGCCCAGGTTCGGCCTACTTAAACAATACGTCACTTTTCATTCATACTTCGTCAGTCTCGTCAACTTTCCTAAAAGTTACAAGGGGTCCCACCTTACTGTTTGCTCAAAAAACTTTCTCCATTCTCTTCACCGGCCGATGATATCACGTGTTGTATATTCCACGATGTCAGCGCATCTAACAGTTGCAAAATATGAAGCACTGGCCCTAACACGAACCCCCAATTCGACAGGGCAACTTAGGTCCACAGATTCTCTTTTTCGGAGCGAAAACATAAATAGAAGACAACACAAAAAGCTTTTTGAGCAAACAGTTAACCGGGACACCCCTGCAATCTTTAGGAAAGTTTACGAGCCTGACCAAGTACCAGCCAGAAGTGACCTAGTGTGTAAATAGGGGCGGGGAGATGGGGTAGTCTGGGCCTGGAAACGTGAGTTGTTCCGTTGAAACACTTTAGCAAAATATTTTTTTTTCACCTGTCCTCATATTGTTCGTCGGCGTAAAGCTGACCACATCACCCATCGAGTGCCGATTGGACTATAAAAATGAGACAAGCATCATGTGCCCAAATGCGCCACTGGCGTGTAAATGGTCCTTAACTTACTTACACATTGTTCATTAAAAAAAACAAAAAACGTTTCATATAAGTAGATGCACCTGGCAAGTATTACATTATTTCCGCAGCTTTGACACGGAATTCATACTTAATTTGTTCTTCTTCAAACTTTTTGAATCAGTGCCGTCTCAAACCATGGACCGGTTGGGCACTTGCTCGGCGACCCCATTTTTTTTTTTTCGTGTTGGCACACCTGAAACTCAGAACAGGGTTGAACAGGATATCGTTGTTTGAGCCACCACCACCACCACCACAACAACTTCTACTACTACTACTACTACTACTACTACTACTACTACTACTACTACTACTACTACTACTACTACTACTACTACTACTACTACTACTACTACAAATACTAATACTGCTGCTACTGACACTATTAAAAGTTATTACTAGAAGGATCTGAAACTATTTACCTACATATCACATTTTATGTGGGGATAAGGCATCTGCGGGTCTTCTTCTTCTTCTTCTTCTTCTTCTTCTTCTTCTTCTTCTTCTTCTTCTTCTTCTTCTGTGTGCGTCTTCAAAAAAGGATTCGACACATTGTTCTGTGATTTTGGCTCACAGATAGACTAATAAGCTGTGCATCCCATTTCAGGAAGACCCTAGCTAGTTGCCCTTTACAGCATGCTTGATGGAGGGCAGGGAAAATAAACACCACCAGCTCCTCCTCCGAGACCGGAACACACACAGGAGCATGCAGGAGATTTTTGTACAGGAGACTTTTATATATTAGAAAATCAATTCTTGAAACATAAGTTTTATTTTGTTTCCAATCTGGCATATTTGACAAAATAATTTATATTTGGACTCTGACGCAAGTTTACAAACACATAGTCACGTGACACGAGTCAGCCAACAGGACAGCCGCCATTGCTTCCAGAACCCTCTCTCTAAACGACCAAAAATATATAAATAACGCACAAGCTTGATGCATCTTGAAAACAAAAAAAAAACATTCGTCTTCAAAACTTGTCTTTATGAGGAATTAGTTGACATTTGTCCTTTAAAATACTGCCCACAAGAGTAAGTATAGTATAGTATTTTTTCGAAATTAAATAATATATCTTATTCAGCCCATTGTCTTGAGTCTTGACTTCTTTGTTATATAATAAATTATTATTAATAATAATTTGTGTGCGAGTGAAATTTACAACTAGAGAGGTAAATAACACAATCAATTTGATAATTGTCAGATGGTATGTAATACAGTAAGTAACCCCGGTGTTTGGTGCAGAAAACTGGACAGTTGACAATAAACTAAACTATGAATAATAAATATGCAAAACTCAAAACAAATCGAAGTGTCTCTGGAAGTAAATTCCAGTGCAACTAGAAGTACAAAAGAATAGGCCATGTTTCATTGAAATAATAACGGACGGTTAAAGAGGTTCTGAAGGGGTGAAGGCAGGTGTGCTGCAAAAGGTAAATAGTATAAGTGAGAGGTAAGGTAAACATCAAGTGATGGATGAACATTAAGAGCCTTTGTATACAGCCATGACAATGTTTGTTGGAGATTTGGCATTAGACAACCTTCATGATCGATCAACTTGATGATTGATCATTTGAATACAGTACAGTATATTTGTGTATATTACTGTCATGCACCATGATGGTGGGAATGGTAATCGAGAGTGCAGTTTCTAGAAAGCGATGAAGAGGCGTACCACTGTGTTGTGGACACAGGTCATTAAAATTAACCATTAGCTATGAAAACACACAGAGCTGGAAAGTTGGCAAGAGAGAGAGAGAGAGAGACTGACTTTTAGGCATGCCATGAAGAGAATGTAGGGACTACAGTTTCGACAATTTGCGGTCTTTTCGGCAATTTCCGTTACCCGGAAACCGTTCAGAACTTGTTCGGGAAATCTCGGCTGGTTTCCGTATGGGTCCAAATCTCTCATGAAATTTTGCCATTGGTGGGAATTTGGACCAGCTATAAATAGCTGAAAACAGCTTGGGGGAACCCGATTAACAGCGCATGTCTACAACAGCCGGACGTCCTCTGTTTTTCTGTTAGTCATCAGTTTGATTGAAAATAGCGGTAAATTCGAGGTTGGCTTTAGGCTTTAACTGTTACTCGTCCTGGTATTGCTAGGTATATTTGAATTCTCCGTCCAATTTTACATTTGTGTATAAAAAGGGAAGTTCTTTCTGGACGGTGGCTAGGTAGATGTACAGTGACATTTTTCAGGCAATCGCTGGCTCAGCCAGTGGCTGTGTCTCATTGCCTGCCATCTTGTCCAATGACAGTCCAATGTAAACAAAGCCGATACAGAACTGCGCAGTAGGTTGCGCAGTAAAAAAACTTCTTGTTTCTGGGTCACAAGTTTTAGCGGCTGTTTCTTACATCTCATCTCCACAAAACCTACAAAACTCAGCTCAGAAATGACATACAAGCCTAAATGAGGTACCATTGGAAAGAAATTGTTTACAGCTATCTAACTGTGCTGGTTTTATTGGTGTAGAGGGCATTTTAAAAATTTTACTGAAGTAGCTAGAGAATGATGTTCTGCAAAGGACATGCTGATTGACTGACTTTTTTGTAATATTACTGCAGAGATGTGAGATTAAACCCCTTGGGCACACAGGGAAGCAACCTTCATGGTGAAGATCATACTTGATTGATTAAAATATTTGATACAAAGGACTAATATTACAGAAGATGTTAGTCGGTTTATATAATGTGTAGTGTAATTTGCAAATTCCTGATGAGTTTGCCGAGTACTGAAAGAGTTCAATAATACAGAAGTGGAGATCCAAAATTGGAAAGAAAATATTGAATATGTAAATTTTTTTCATCTTCTAGATAACCATGACGGTCACAGTGAAAGTGTTTCTCGAAAGAACCAGTGGATCAAATGAGATCCGCAGATTTCCGGTGAATACCTCAGCTGGCAACGATTTCTTTACAACTACCAAGGAGAAGATCAGACAGTTGTATCCAGTCTTGGCCAGTGGCAATTTTACTCTTTACTGGCAAGGTTAGTATGCAACCCTAAAGCTATTTTTTTAAACTGCTGAAATATGTTTTGTTGTTGTTGACTAGATTGGTTTGAGTTTACCAAATTTAGAAGAATCTTCTGTTTCTTTTGCCTGTATAACTCTTTGAGTCCCAAGGAACGCATCATACATTCATAGATTCCTATCTAGAAGCCCAAATGAACAAATGAGCCGATTTTATGTCTCTTTTCCATCTCTTGGGCCTGTGATGCTAAATCCCTATTGGGACTCAAGAGAGTGAAAAATAGAGAGTGAAAAATATAAGTAAAAAAAATGTAACGCCAGTTTGTGTTTGTACAAGTTTCTTTCTTTATTACTGAAAAGAATCATGTGGGTTCCGGAGCCCTGTTATAGGCCAGAAGCATGTCGTAAGAGTCAACTAATTGGGAGCTTGGCTATCTTCCAATAACGGTCCCAAATTATCGAGGCCTCAGTCACGTGTAACTTGCGCACTTCCAGCAACTTCCGCCACCGCCGAGAGTACCCCACCCCCGCCGCGTGTCCCCCACGCCGCATTTCCTGCAACTGCCTTCGTTTTATTTGCGGTGGCGGAAGTTCACAATTCTGCGGTGGCGGTATAGTCCCCAGAAGTACGCAATTGACACGTGACTGAGGCCATGTTAGGGTATATTTTCTGCCTCGATAATTTGGGACCGTTATTCGGAAAATAGACGGGAGCTTCCTTCAAAGTCATAGTGCATCTGCCTGAGGCAAGGAACCAGCAGTCCGCATACAAATTAATTAGATCTGTAACACGGATGCACACGCAAGGCTCAGGTTCTGGAAAAGTGATTGGAGTCGAGAAGTGGATGAACAACCAGCTGGTGAACGCGAAGAAGAATCAGTATCTTGTATGGGTTCCAAAGCCCATTTTAAGGGGAATGAGAACACATTCACTGCCCTACTGACAAGCATGCTGTGAAAGGCAACTACTTAGGGGCATTTCCTTTAAGTCTGAGTGCATCAGCCTTAGAGTCGAGAAACCAACCATCTGCATACAAAAAAAAAAAAACCAGATCTACAATGCATGTGTAAGTGAAAATAAGTGGAGGAAAACCAGAATATTCTGCCAAAGTTGACAGTCAAGGAACGTCAAGAAGAAGGTGAATTAGTGTGGAGGTGCTGAACCACAGGTGATAGTGCCTCAGTACCAGAGTTCATACTAATCAGGCCTTATCTACCCCTCTCCACAGCCATTCCAGAAATAGGTTTCCAGCCGAGGGCCTCGTTAACATCGATATGATCAGTGTTTTTTTTTCAAAGTTGATCTGTGAAATTGATGTGCTTGCACAATTTTAGTCCAAACTGCTGAAATTGACACACAACCAGAACTTTGTGCTGGAGTTTACAGCCGGTGAATGTGAAGAAGAGGAGTGACTGGCCAAACAGTTAAAAATGCTGGGCTCATGCGGGAGACTCAGATTCAAATCCTCAGTTATTCTGTAGATTTTTCTTTCGGGGGTGAAAATAAAATCCTTACAGACAGTGGCCTCCACTACCCATGCAGCCATATAATCTGCAGGCTGAAAGATCCGCTGCCTACACAGCAAAAGTGGTAAAGTCAGGCAATGACATTTTTTTTTTTTTTTTCATGAAGAAAATTAGATTTAAATAGTTTTTGAGCTTTATCAGTTATTCTTTTAATTTATTTGGCTTTTTCTTCCAGATCCTGATGGAGATCGTGTTGCATTCTCATCATTGGAAGAGATGAGAGAGGCGCTAACACATGTAACTGATGGAGTCTTACGGGTTTATGTGTCCGGTATGTGAAGTTTGATGTTGAATATTTATTCTTCTTCTGCTGCTGCCGTTGCTTCTTTTTCTTCCTCCTCCTCTTCTAGTCGGCTCTGTGGCTAATTCGATGCGAATGCTTCATGATGCCGGGATGCCGGGTTCGATTCCCAGCTGCGGGCTATGTGCCTTACATTGGTTTCAGCAGTGGTTTTAAGAAAGCCGACCATCCAGAACGCAGTGGCAAACTACTGGACGTAAATTTGCCTAGAAAAACCATACAACGGCCAGGGGCTGTTGGGGTTGGTTCTGCAACATGTGCTGTAAAGGATATGCAACTTACCTTAACTCTTATTCTTCCTTCTCCTCCTCCTCTTCTTCCTCCTTCTCCTCTTCTTCTTCCTTCTCCTCTTCTTCTTCTTCTTAATCTTCTTCAGCTGTGTATGACCTTAAAGGGATGATTTTGCATGTTGATTTGGCTTTTTAGCAAGCTTGTAATATTGGTGACTTTTTGTAGAACATAATTGGGGCCCCAAAATAAAATGTATGTCCATGTACAATTTTATCATTATGTCATTTTTGTTAGGACCGCTGCAGGCCCAACCCCTAAACTTTGAGGTGTTATTTGTGGGAGCCCCCCACCCCCCAATATAAAAAAGGGGGCATAGTCCCAAAATGATCCACACAAGAGAAGGTTTATGCTTTGTCTGATTATTGGTACATCTTGTTATTTACAAGTTATCGTTATTGCATTGGGCATCATTTGTATGTTACTGCTAAACAGGCCTCACCAAGGGCTAAACATTGAGGTGTTGTTTGTGGGGGCTTAGTGCTAGTCTTGCACACCCTCCTTGATTATAGGGCTTGGAAAAGAAAAGGGGGAACTTTGCAGCATAGTCCCTCAGAATGATCATGTGGTACATGGTTGAGAGGAAAGTCGTTATGCTAATTTCAGTCCAATAGATTAAAGCCCTTTTCAGGGCCTCAGACTATTTAAACATAAATACATTAAACGTGCAAGTAAAAAACACAGCTTTCAGGAGGCAGATCTTTATAGGAATGGTGTACAAAATGGACTGTGATATGCCTGTTTTAGTTGAAAGGATTCATATGTGTTTCATTATATGTTGATTTACCTGATAAAAAATTTGTTTTTTCTGTCCATGTTTATTGATTACCCCTTTATATATTTTGAAATAATTATAAACAAAGGTAGATAAGCACACAAAGATTTATTGGTGATTTGTGTAATGTGCTTGTTTTTCTAAGTGTTTTTTCCCTGGTAATTTCCACGGGTTCATGACTTGCGGTCCCCCACATTTTTTAAGCAGTCGCAGTGTGAAAGGATTTCATTCCAGAAAATTTATATCTGTCCTACAAAAAGAAACAAATTGCACATGGAAACAAAATTCTTTTTTTTCCCCCTTGGTAACAGAGCCAGTGGAGGCCTCAGAAAAATCTGAACAAGAGAACCAAAAGAAGTCGTCTGAAAGGCAGCAACCTGTGCCACCTCAACGCAGTAACAGCCAGTCTTCGGGTTTTCAGGGCCCTACAGCCAAAGTCCAGGACCCAGTCAGGGATCCACCCAGAGCCAGCCTCAAGGACCCCAGCCAAGCAGTGGACAGGCAGGGCCGACAAGTGACGATGAGCCTGTGCATCCTGGTGTCAGATGTGACGCCTGCCGGGGTCGTGTGAAGGGTATCCGCTACAAGTGCTGTGTGTGTCCCGATTTTGATCTCTGTCAGGCTTGTGAGAGCAAGGGAGTGCACTCTGAGCACGACATGTACAAGATAAATCGTCCTCCTTTATATGTAAGATTCATTCTATTTTCTTATGTTTCGTCGTCGTCTTCCTCTAAAGCTTTCTCCTTCCTGTCTTTGCCTGGGCTTATGGTACATCAGAGCTTTTAAAACTTTTTAGTGACACACTTTTCTTCTTTGCACTCATTTTCATATTTTAAAAAGTTTTAAGGATTTTGTACACACTTTCAGGTGTATTGGACATTTAGTGCTAGACCTATATTTTATAGACCAATTGTCACATGGTGGGTGGTGTATTCGACATCACACCGGCCACCTTTACTTTCCAGGACTTTACCTGGGTACCTGTTTAAGGCTGGGTTGACATGAGAGTGAAGATAAATTTTTGGGGGGAAAAAAGTCTGCCTCTTTTTTAATTTCATACCACGACTTTCGCATACGCAGGTGAGTATCTTGCCGCTACACCGCATAGGCCCCAGTCACTTTCATATGCTTTTTCTTGTCTCCATCAACTGGTGCCTCACCAGCAAGCCTATAATGGCTCCCTGAATTTTGTGGTGGTTGCCTCTTCCCTCTGGTCATGTATGTTCTTGAAGGTTTTGCTGTTGGGTGGCAGTTTTGTAGCATTTGCTAAGGTGTTCTGAGTGCGGCTTGGCAGGGACACTGGGCAGACTGTGTGGTCTTCATTCTATGCATGTGTGTGTTAAGTTTGCATTGTTCTATTCTTAGTCAAAACTGCCTTCTGCCTAGTCTGTTGATTGGGTCATCTGGATGTTTACTTTGTTCTCCACCTCCAGGAATTTATGTACTTCTCTCTGATTGGTGTCTTTAACTCTTGTTATGATATGGGATGGAGGTGCGGCTTTCCTAGTGTTCCTTCCTTGGCACATGAAAGGCAAAGAGCTGTTTTCTCTTTAGCACATTAAAGATAGAGAGCTATTTCCTCTTTGGCACATGAAACATTTTGAGAGCTATTCCCCCTATCGTACACTTTTTAAACATAATTTAGAGAAACAGTAATTAAGTCTAGAAAGCAAAGCAGCAATTAAAATGTAACATTCTTTGCTAATTATTCTGCTTAAGACTTCCCGTTCAAGGGACCAACATTCACCACTGCAGGGACACACTAAGATAACTCCAACTTCATATTGAATCCCCATGAAGATTTTTCTAACCTGACCCTTGATTCACTGACTGACCCAGCTTAAACCAGGGTACTAGGAAACGAAAAGGAGGCTGTCATGATGTTGACTACATTAGTTAGTTGACAGATCATCCTCATTGCACATTAAACCATTCAGTCTATAAGTGTTTGGATCCTTTGCTAAGTAAATCCTGCCCCCTGCTTAGGAAACCCCCCCAGCATGTAGTGGCTCACAACACCAGTTCTGTGTTGGTTTCCTATTCTTATTTGGCTGCCTGGAAAGTACTATTGTCTGGCCACATCCCTATCTAAGGTAATCATTTTGGCAAAGCTGCACCCTCTCATGTCTGCCTGGCTGCTCTGCTGTAAATAGTATTCTTAAAGGGCTTTGTGCTGATTTTAGACGGTTCTCTGCCAGGTGAGGTCAGCACTCGGAAAGTCAGGAATACTCCCGTTTCTGACAGCGCTGTTCATACTTCTCTGTAGTTGCCAGCTGTTTTTGACAGCAGCGTTCATACTTTTATGTAGTCGCCAGAAAAATTTCAGTGACTTATTTTTGCTTATTCTGAGATACAGCTCTGCCCACTTTTCACCATTAAGCACATTACCAGGTTTTTGAAGCAACCAACTTTTGTGTCCATGTCTTTTTCTTCTTCAGATGCAGGATATAACTAGACTGGGTGTCTCTGCTTCTTTTAGCATTTTGCCACTTTACAGCACAACTCTTATCCATCCAAGCTATTTCCACATCAGGGTTGCACCAAGGAGAATGGTCCAATTGTTTTTCTTCTTTCCATGTTGATTTATAGTACGTGTTGATTTATGCCACGTTACTCATTGAGTGCTGATTGATCTGCAAACTGTTTTATGTAGCACGATATACCCAGTAACTACTTTAAGTCACAAACCAAAAGGAAAAGAGAAAAAAAGGGGCTCCCAAAAACAACATGGAGAGGAATGATGGAAAGTGACCTGAGTGTGTCATCTCTGACATGGAAAAATGCACTGAAGATTGTACAGGACAGGAAAGCATGGAAAGTCCTCTCTGAAGCCTTATGTGCCACTAGGCATAAAGATAATTATGATGATATACACAGTGGCTCTATGGACTGGAGAAAAAAGAGACGTGGAAGATCATGATGTTACTAGTACTAGATTATAATTTTTTTCCTCCCACAAATTTCCTAGTTCTGAATAGGAATTGAAGCTGGATCTCCCGAAGGAGAACTCAACATTCTAGATGCTTCCCCCTCACATGAATCCTGCTGTTCATGTCTTCCACAGAACTTTTTCCAGCATCTTCCAGGATTCTCCCAGAACCACCCAGGATTCTCCCAGAACCACCCAGGATTCTCCCAGAACCACCCAGGATTCTTCTATTGTCACAAAGGAGCCAGTGCCCCCGGAGCTCATGCTGCTGCTAGTGCAAGCTTTAGCGGCAGTTGTGACTCAAATCCTGGCATGTTCAGAGGAGCCAGCTTCCAAGCCAATGCTGATGCTCATCAGAAAGAGAAGAAGGGTGACAGACCCTCATTTGAGGAATTTTTCAGTCAGTTTGGATCCAACATTTCTATTTCAGTAGATCCTTCTGGTAAGTTTTAAGATCATTGTAGGCTTCATGTTCACTGTTGACCATTTATACTCCTTGTGTAGTTTCTGGGGCCCCATTGCAGGATGTGAGATAAACACCCCCCCCCCCCCCCCTAACCACCACCAATATGTCTTGAAAGAAGGCTAATTAGGTGTTTGATGAAATCTTAAGTGGTGAGCTGAAGGGTGCAGATATCATAGCCTAGCTACAAACCACAACACAACAACATGCCAACCGCTTTTCTAAGGGCAAACACAGAAGAAAGATTATCAGTGTAAAACCTGAAGTGTGGATTAACCAAGAGAGACTGGGTAATTGTTCACCAGTTCTGGGTGTAAGACATGAAGTAGGGTATCACCAAGGGAGGCGGAATGATTGCCGGATCTGAGTGTATGATGTGAAGTGGCCTGTCACTGAGGGAGACTGGGTGATTTTTGCCAGATCTGAGTGTAAGACGTTAAGTGGAGTATCACCAAGGGAGGCTGAATTCTGTGTGTACAAGGTCCGACAATTAAAAATGAGACTAATTCTATAAAAATTAAAATAATCAACAGTTGAAGATGTACAACCTGTGTTTTATTCAAAGTAAGCCCCTTGTGCATTGATACAGCAAGTGGCACGATCTAACAAACACTGGAATGACCACTGTAGTTCTTCTGTTGTTATGGCCCTTAAAGTCGATGTTGCGGCCCTTTGGATGTTATCAGTATCGTTAAAGAAGCGTCCTTTCAATCGTAACTTTAATTTTGGGAATAGAAAATAATCACAGGGAGACAAATCTGGGGAATAGGGGGGAAGGCTGAGAATGCACACTTGTTTTTGGGCCAAAAATTTGTATTTTGATTATGTCTATTGGGTACTCAACCCGCTGATGTTTTTTGTCATCATCAAACAAATGTACAAACCGGCAAGCAACTTTTTTCTTGCCAAAATCTAACACTAAAAAGTTATGAATGGCCTCTCTATTACCACCAGATTCATCTGCCAGCATCCTTACAGTAAAACAATTATCTTCTTATATCCATTCTCTGACTTTTGCAATGAGTTCATCATTACGAACATAAATTTAGCGTCCAGGTCTAGGTGCATTAGTAATCATTCCACACCTCTTTTGAATCATGAATACCACCTGAAAATGTGTGCACAAGATGAACAATTGTTCCCACAAACTTGTTGCATCCATTCAACTGTTTCAGTGGCGCTTTTTTTAAAAACAGAATTTAATGTTAGCTTTTTGCTCCGCGCTGATTATGTAACAATGCACCTCTGACTAGGTCAACAAAATGGCGGCTTGTTTGTTGTCTGCTTATCGGGCGGCGATGAAAAGTTGCCAGATCATAGATGAATGTTGCCTCTTTAGATTCCATGCTTTGCTTCATAGATGGCATTTTTGTCTTGCCTTAATAAAATCATTCTCATTACTTTATTGTCGGACCTTGTATGACATGAAGTGGCCTGTCACCAAGGGAAACAGGGTGATTGTTTGCCAGGTCATTTCCACTGTGCTGCCTTTAGTGTAGTTGTATTTTTATGAAACATTGTTTCAGGGGTGAAGGTGAGCTGTGATAACCCTGACAGGCCTGGAAACCAGCAGGGAGAGAACTTCCATCACGCCTGGGGTTCAAAGGGCAGTGGCTGTCCAGCTTGGGAGCACATGTTCAGGAGAGCTCGTCAAAACAACACAACGAAAGATAGCGAGACTGAGGCTGCTAACAAAGATAGGGACACTGAGGGAGTAGGTGCGGGACCAAAAACGAATGTCCCAAGCAGTACGGATACTAAAGGTTGCCAGAAGACTGGAATCAGGGTGAGCACCTTTAAAGCAAAATATTTTTTCCACCTTTATTATTTATGGTCGCCTTCATTGTCCTTGTCTATTTGACCTTCATTTCCAATCATTTGATTAATTCTCCTGGTCATTCTTATCATTTGCATTCATCCTTATCATTCATGCCACTTTGTCCTTTTAATATTTTAAAAAATAATCTTTAATATTTCTAAAAATTTAAATCATTCCTGTCAATTTCTTTCATTTTCAACCCTTTTGCCCCAGAAATGCTTTAAAAAAAAGGCAGACGAACAAAATGAAGCATGGAATAAATTCCCTAGGACCTAAAAATTTTATAGAGTGACTCGGTCATGACTCTATGACCTCATCCAAATTTTAACACCATTGCTACCGGCAAGTTATACATCATTTTGACTTAAAAAGCCATTTTGTTCACAAAAATGTCCCCTTAAATGTTATGTTTACTAAATATAATTATGTCCGGGTCTTGAAGCACTGCGCAAGTGCAAACAGAATCGAGTACTGTTGTTAAGTAGGTTTCTTGGGAGCAGTCTGTAGCACGGGATTAAGTAACAGTTGGAAAGGCTGGACTGAGACCTTATAATTAGGCCACTCAAGGGCCATATCCACTAGACTTGCATTAATTATGTTCTCACTTCTGGAAACGGAAAATTTTACATTTAAAACTACAAGGAACTCTGCATTCCAAGCCCTTGATGTTCATTTCTGCCTCTATCTCTAACTGACCTTCTCTTTCCAGTTAGTGACTTCAAATGTTTGTAGGTGTGCTTGTGTATTATCTCCCCCACCATTTTCTTGGTCTGCTCTCATGCAGCTCTTTTTGTTCACTGCTTGTGTCTCTCCGTGATGTGCCATTCACACTGTATGGCCTAATCATTGCAGTCTGTTAGCCATTGTGATGCCGGTAAGTAGAGGTGATTCAGCAGATTATGGATTTCTTTGTTATCTTTCACTTTAGATTCTCTACTATTTACATCTTTGATGGGTCTAAAGATTTATTGTAAGACTGTTCTCAAAAGTCTGTTATAGGAATTTGCACTTTTAGTTGTACTGTAGGTAAATTTTTCTGTTGCTGAAGTAAATTTATAACAAGACTGACGCCAGTAATTAACGGTGATTTAAACAGACTTGATTTCATTGTTGCTCTTCATTCATTGATGTATGATTTACTCTCTCTCTCTCTCTCTCTCTCTCTCCCTCCCTCCCTCTCTGTGTGTATGTGTATCTTTTATGTATACACACACACAAACACACACACATAGTAAAACCTTGTTAATAATAACTCACTTAAGAGAAATAATGAAATCACTTAAGAGAAATAATGAACTCACTTAAGAGAAATAATGAACTCACTTAAGAGAAATAATGAACTCACTTAAGAGAAACACTCGCTTGAAATGAGAAAAATTGTGGTCCCAGCAGGGATGTATTATTGTTTTTTGGTCCCAATTAGCATGCAGTGTTTTTTTTTGTAACACAAACTCAGAATTCAGTCCTTGGAGTTCGTGTTAGCGAGGTTTTATTTTCTCTCTCTCTCTCTCTCTCTCTGCACACATGTGCATGCATGCACACACAAACACAGTTTTGTTGTAATGTCTACTTGACTTTTACATATCCATCTCTAACCTACCTGTAGATGAATGATCAAAACTGCAGTGTCCTGACAGATACGCCAGAGAATGTTGGTGGGTTTCGGATTCCTTCCACAGTCCCTATTCCCTTGCCTGCACCCACAAGTAATCCGGTACCCTCAACAACCCCAGTCACTGGACCATCTGCAGAGCAGTCCCCACATTCAGCAGCAGCAGCAGCTCCTGCTTCCCAGGACAGTGATCAGTCTACAGGACAGCCATCTGTCAGACCTCAGACCAACCTGTATCCCAGTGAGTAACATTGGAAGCTCTTTCACACCGGTCTTTGTTAGCAAACTGTAGGTAGATGTGTCATCATCATCATCTTGTGCCATTATGCATCAGATAGTGTTTTCTGTTGATTCCTGCATTCAGTTTTTCCCTCATTTCAATATCATGGTTGGAATCTAGTCCCCTTTGGCCTCTCTCATTAAGGTTCATCTTCAGTGTTTGTCTTGGATGTCCTCGTTTCCTCAGTCCATTTGGTGAATGTGTAAGTAATAATAAACTACAAACATTCATTAACTGGTACGTATGCAGAATGTTGAATAATCAACGTCATAGCATTGGAGACACCCCCAGAAGTGCCTCTTCCCCACCTTCAGCAGCAAACCAAGAGTTCCAATTCGAATGGCACCAGTAACTGATTGAATATCCCTTTCCTTGAGTGTTAAGCATCGACCAGATCCCTTGGTAACTCCTCGCAGCGCCATTCTCCTCAGACCATAATGATCTATTTGCACTTTCGCATTACCTACGTAGAATAGAGGGAACTAGTCAAACCTTTTCCATGCCTTCAGCTGTACTGGGCATATTGGGCTAGGTCTATATTTTATGGACCCATCGGTTCTTGGTGGCTGATGTGGTCAACATCACGCCAGCTACCTTTACTTCCCAGGACTGCACCTGGTACCCACTGAAGGCTGGGTCGAACTGGGAACAAAGGTCATTTTTGAAGAAATCCGGGTTTCTTCAGGACCCGAACCCACAACCTTCCAATTGGCAGGTGAGCATCTAGCCGCTACACCACAGCGACTTGGATGTGTAGGAAAGAGGACAGTTAATTTGCATGGTGAACCATTTGGAAGGCTGAGTCTTTTCTTCTTCTTCCTGCAGATATTCAAAGGAGATATCAGGATCTTTTGTATGATCTTTTTAATTCACTGTCTAAGTTGGTCTTCATTCCTTTAAGGCTGTTCTTGATGCAAGGCACTATTTTGCTATCAGTATCAGAAGAACCTATCTGTGAATCCACAGACCAAACCTGTATCCTAGTCTAGTTTTCTCTATCCTGTGTCATAAAAACACTTGGTAGGTGTGTGGAATAGAGAAGTTTTAGCTGGTCAGTTGCTTGGCAAATCCTTTGGAAGGCTGACTTGTTTCTTTGCTTTTATGTTTGTGCCTAATTTTTGTGTATGTACTTGACATGCTGTGTAGATAAAATGTAGATACTTTTCAAAGGTTATGATTGAAAGGGCCGAATGGAAGAAGGGCCTGTTTGCAGAGTTTGTGACCCTTTGAAAATGTGTTGTTGTTCTTTTCTCTAGTTACTCTTTGAAGTGTCCAGGTTGAGGTGTCAAGTCTTCTCTGTGCTTTTTCTAATATGCTCCAAGATTGTTCTTGGTGCTGCCATTCTAAATTGTCCTGATGTTAAACGTTTTTGAACTACTTAGAATTTCATTTTACTTTTTTCAAGGCGGACTGACAGTGTTATCATGTTGTGAATTTTGCTTATGAGTAAATTCAAGTCAGTTAAATAATATATTAATATTGTGCTAGGAGAAAGTTAAATTCTGTGTTTCATTTGTTGCAGACCTGCAGGTACAACAGAGTTTGGATCAGATGTTGGCCATGGGATTCTCAGACACCGATGGCTGGTTGACCACCCTGCTGACCGAACACGATGGCAACATTGGGGCCACTCTTGATGCCATCATGCATAAAGCCACTGAGCAACTGGACAACATCCATGGAGGTCGCTGAGCAGTTGGCCAGGTTGAATCACGGGTCTGCCAGTGTTAAGGATTGCAGAACTTTTGGCATTTCTTTTTATTTGTTGACTAAACCGTTGCTTCAAAAGATGACTTCCCTGTTGTGTATTTAAATAAAGAAGTCGCAAACAAAAGGTTTCCAGATTTACCGCCTGGCATATTTCACTGTATCATGTCAAGTGTAAACAGTTAAGATGGCTGATACTGAGGAACTGATATGAAGAATTATCACAAAGTGGGACTGAGAGCAGGAACACTCAAAGACTGTGAGCAGATGTTTACAACAAAGTCCTTATGACCATGAAGAAGGAAAAAGGATACTTTCTTACAAAAAGTAATCAACATAATCTCACAGAAAAGTAATCCACACTTAGAGAGAACCTCCATGCACGCTTCAGTTTACAGAGGTAGCATATTTTGAAACAAGTACTAATCATGGTGTGTATTTCGGCTGTAAAGCTTGTTTGTATTTTTGGGATTCTTTTTTCTCAAGTATACACCTGATGAGATACATTGAAATATACAAGTTGATCAGTTCGGGCAATCTGTTGTTTGTGTCTTCATTATTAAAATAAATACAAGCATATTTGTACGTTGCTTGATGTTTTTTTTTTTTTCTACGTTTTGTTTTCTAGTCTGAGATGTCAACATATATTTTCTAAATAAAGTATGCTGTCAATTGCAGATCTTACCTTGGACTGCAGATCTTGTTGTACTGCAGATCTTGTCTTGTACCGTAGATCTTGTTGTACTGCAGATCTTGCCTTGTACCGTAGATCTTGTTGTACTGCAGATCTTACCTTGGACTGCAGATCTTGCTTCGTACCGTAGATCTTGCTGTGTACAGCAGTGTTTTGCTTTCAGTTTAACGATTTTCAAAGGACGTATTTACAAGATTGACCTGTTATGTGAAGATTGTTCAAAAAATATTATGTTTTAATATCTTACATTGTTGTCTTTATTCTTCAATTTTTGATTTTTTGTTTTGGCCACAGATTTGTGAAAATTTCCTCACCTGTTTGGAATTGCTATTTACACATTCAAATGATTAAATAAAATGAAAAGAAAGAATGCAGTTTTAGAATTTAATTTGATTTCATAATTAAAATCATGATTTTATTAAGAAATTGCAAGTTGGAATTTCAAAAAAAAATGGGGGGGGGGGGGGGGGGGGGGGGGGGGGGAATTGTCTAGTTTTTATGTTTTTATTTTTTTAATAATTATTTTGGGGATTAGTAAATTCATTTAGATAATAGACTTGTTTGACATTTGTATTGTTTCCATCACTTGAGTATTTTTCTATGTTTCAATTTTAATCCTTATTAATTTCATTGATATTGAATAATGATAGTGTAGTGGTCATGTAATGTAATTTATGTAGTGTACAATTCAATGTCCCTAACTTCGAGTCCCAAGAAACACATCATGAATTCAAAGGTTCCTACCTAGAAAGAAGCACAATGAATGCAGGATGGTCAATTTTGCATCTGTATGTACTACTTCTTGGGCCTCTGATGCTAAACCTCCTGGGACTGAAAGAGTCCCAATGTCAAAAACAAAAGAAAGAAATACCTACAGTGAATCCTAAATTTGACTAGAAGAGAAAAGATAAAAAATGATATCAGGAAAGAAGTTGAAACCAGTATTTGACTACATCAAGAGGCAACAGATCAGATGGTTTTTACATGGGTCAAGACCACCACCACAGAGAACCCTGTTAACTTAGACACAATTGTTACTTAGACCCAGAGGTCGACCATGCAAGCGATGGATAGATGGAATATCGGAGGCCGTAAATACCAGCATCTAGGTAGCACATACTAAGCTCCAGCCGATGCCTCTTTAAAACTTGGCGCTGAAGGGTAATACAAAATTGGAGAAGTGTGGTCGTTGGAATCTTTCCGTCTTTTCAGACAATAGTGTTCCATTATGTTATTGGCAGACATAGGATTCAGAGCCCATGGCAGGTGTGATTTGCAAGACCCATATTAAGATGATTTTTCCACAGTAAGTGAATACGATTTCAGGACTATTCTACAGCACTAAGTCTGGGCAGTAATGTAGAGAGACTGTGTTGCCCAGACAGCATGATCTCTCCCTTAATTGCTTCAAAGGAATGGTAGTAGCACGATGTTCGCAACAAAGCTAGCCGCAGAAGCAGCCAGATCAGAAGAGCAGTGCCTTCCCCTAGACCAGCTGCCAACCAAAACTAAGAGACTAGTCTGCCCTGTCATAACATTCAGTTTTCATATTGCATTTCCTCATCCTAGTGGTTTGTGTAATGTTGTGGTTAATGTAAATTAACCAGTACAGTGGCTCCAGGTTTATACAGAATTAGTGGCAGGCCTGGCTTTATGTGATCAGACAGATGATGTAGCTATGATCAGTATGACTACAGTTAGTGTAGCTATGATCAGTATGACTACAGTTAGTGTAGTTATGATCAGTATGACTAGTTAGTATAGTTATGATCAGTATGACTACAGTTAGTGTAGTTATGATCAGTATGACTACAGTTAGTATAGTTATGATCAGTATGACTAGTTAGTATAGTTATGATCAGTATGACTACAGTTAGTATAGTTATGATCAGTATGACTACAGTTAGTATAGTTATGATCAGTATGACTAGTTAGTATAGTTATGATCAGTATGACTACAGTTAGTATAGTTATGATCAGTATGACTAGTGTATAGTTATGATCAGTATGACTACAGTTAGTATAGTTATGATCAGTATGACTACAGTTAGTATAGTTATGATCAGTATGACTACAGTTAGTGTAGTTATGATCAGTATGACTACAGTTAGTATAGTTATGATCAGTATGACTAGTTAGTATAGTTATGATCAGTGTGACTACAGTTAGTGTAGTTATGATCAGTATGACTACAGTTAGTATAGCTATGATCAGTATGACTACAGTTAGTGTAGTTATGATCAGTATGACTACAGTTAGTGTAGCTATGATCAGTATGACTACAGTTAGTATAGTTATGATCAGTATGACTACAGTTAGTATAGTTATGATCAGTATGACTACAGTTAGTATAGTTATGATCAGTATGACTACAGTTAGTATAGTTATGATCAGTGTGACTACAGTTAGTATAGTTATGATCAGTATGACTACAGTTAGTATAGTTATGATCAGTATGACTACAGTTAGTATAGTTATGATCAGTATGACTACAGTTAGTATAGTTATGATCAGTATGACTACAGTTAGTATAGTTATGATCAGTATGACTACAGTTAGTGTAGCTATGATCAGTATGACTACAGTTAGTATACTTATGATCAGTATGACTAGTTAGTATAGTTATGATCAGTATGACTAGTTAGTATAGTTATGATCAGTATGACTAGTTAGTATAGTTATGATCAGTATGACTACAGTTAGTATAGTTATGATCAGTATGACTAGTTAGTATAGTTATGATCAGTATGACTACAGTTAGTGTAGTTATGATCAGTGTGACTACAGTTAGTGTAGCTATGATCAGTATGACTACAGTTAGTGTAGCTATGATCAGTATGACTACAGTTAGTATAGTTATGATCAGTATGACTAGTTAGTATAGTTATGATCAGTGTGACTACAGTTAGTGTAGTTATGATCAGTATGACTACAGTTAGTATAGCTATGATCAGTATGACTAGTTAGTATAGTTATGATCAGTATGACTACAGTTAGTGTAGCTATGATCAGTATGACTACAGTTAGTGTAGTTATGATCAGTGTGACTACAGTTAGTGTAGCTATGATCAGTATGACTACAGTTAGTGTAGCTATGATCAGTATAACTACAGTTAGTATAGTTATGATCAGTATGACTAGTTAGTATAGTTATGATCAGTGTGACTACAGTTAGTGTAGTTATGATCAGTGTGACTACAGTTAGTGTAGCTATGATCAGTATGACTACAGTTAGTATAGCTATGATCAGTATGACTACAGTTAGTGTAGTTATGATCAGTATAACTACAGTTAGTATAGTTATGATCAGTGTGACTAGTTAGTATAGTTATGATCAGTGTGACTACAGTTAGTGTAGTTATGATCAGTATGACTACAGTTAGTGTAGTTATGATCAGTATAACTACAGTTAGTATAATTATGATCAGTATGACTAGTTAGTATAGTTATGATCAGTGTGACTACAGTTAGTATAGTTATGATCAGTGTGACTACAGTTAGTATAGTTATGATCAGTGTGACTACAGTTAGTATAGTTATGATCAGTGTGACTACAGTTAGTATAGTTATGATCAGTGTGACTACAGTTAGTATAGTTATGATCAATATGACTACAGTTAGTGTAGTTATGATCAGTATGACTACAGTTAGTATAGTTATGATCAGTATGACTACAGTTAGTATAGTTATGATCAGTATGACTACAATTAGTGTAGCTATGATCAGTATGACTACAGTTAGTGTAGTTATGATCTGTGTGACTACAGTTAGTGTAGTTATGATCAATATGACTACAGTTAGTGTAGTTATGATCAATATGACTACAGTTAGTGTAGTTATGATCAATATGACTACAGTTAGTGTAGTTATGATCAGTATAACTACAGTTAGTATAGTTATGATCAGTATAACTACAGTTAGTGTAGTTATGATCAGTATGACTACAGTTAGTATAGCTATGGTTACTGTAACTGGTTGGTATGGCTACAATCTATATGACTATAGTTAGCATGGCTACGGTCTATATGACTGTAGTTAGCATGGCTACAATCTATATGACTTTACTTAGCATGGCTACGATCTATATGACTATAGTTGGCATAGCTACAATCTATATGACTATAGTTAGCATGGCTATGATCTGTATGACTATAGTTAGCAAGGCTACGATCTATATGACTATAGTTAGCATGGCTATGATCTGTATGAGGCCTACACTAGCTTTGGCCATCTTTTCTAGTGTCCTCATCGACTTTCTTTGAAACGAGCAGGCATTTTGTTGTTGTTGTTA